GCTCTAGCCATGAACGAGCCAACGCCCACCACCTCAATATGATCTCATGTTAAACCTGGGCCTCTTGGGGCCTTTGGCCAGCACGCTGTACACACACACACCTTCTTCTGGGGCAGCCGTCCTTATCTGCCTAAAACTCAAGTTTCCTCCGGGCTAGGCCACGGCAGTGCAGGATGGAGGGCCAGGATCTCTTTCTGGCTTTGGACAAGCCAGTGAACCTGTCAGGACTCAGTTTCACCTGCTTTAAAATGGGCAGTCATCCTGCTCTGCTCCAAGGGGAGTCCCTAGTGAGGGGAGAAGTGGGCAAACTTTTCCACTTGTGAATGTTTTTGTTTCATATATTTTTGCTTCCCTATCTAACCTAACAACTTGGAAATTTTGAAGAAACACTTATCCAGATAATTCCTTGTGGTTTTCACTTATATATGCAATCCTGACCCTATAGATCTGAAAGCAAGCAAAATAAGTCAGCTTTCTTCCAGAAAACAAAGTAGCAGCGTGGGTAGCTGTCTATAAAGCTGCCTGTGCTAATAATGACCTGAATAAAAAAGTGGAAGCCCTGTCTTCCTTGGGAAGTTTATCTCCTTGAGCCAGAGGTGAAGAGTCATCCGTTAAACTGCAGTACAGACTCCATGTCCACAGATTTAACCAGCCCAGATGGGATATATTGACAGAAAATGCCAACATCTACTACATAGGTAGGCCAACGATGGTTGCATCTGTACAAAACACGTGCAGGCTTTGTCATTTTCCCCTAAATCTGTGGTTGGCAAACTGTGGCTCGTGAGCCACGTGTGGCTCTTTGGCCCCTTCAGTGTGTCTCTTCCACAAAATACTATGGCCTGGGTGAGTCTGTTTTGAAGAAGTGGTGTTAGAAGAGGTTTAAGTTTAAAAAATTGGGCTCTCAAAAGAAATTTCAATTGTTGTACTGTTGATATTTGGCTCTGTTGACCAAATATGAGTTTGCCGACCACTGCCCTAAACAATACAGCATAACTATTTACATAGCGTTTACATTGTGTCAGGTAACGAGTAATACAGAAATGCTTTAAAGTATATGGAAGGATACACAAATACTCTGCCATTTTATATAAGCAACTTGAATATCACAGATTTTGGTATCGTCAGGGGTCCTGGAACTATTCCCCCACAGATAACAAGGGATGGCTATATTCAAATAAAATAACTTATCTTACCCCAAAGAGAACAGGATCTGTAGTCCCACCCTTTCTCAATCCCAGTAAAGAGCACATATCAGCAACATGGCAGCAAAACCACCACAAAACGGTACACCTTCGAATGGCAGGCAGGCACCCAGACAAGAGAGATCTACAGAGCGGAGAGCAGAACCCTTCCCTTTTTCTGTCATAAAGATCTGCATGGTCCTGGGATTTCCAAAAGCTAAGAAAATAAATTTTTAAGTTGTTCATGGTATGTCACAATGCTAAGGTGGGACCTGGGCGCCAGTTCTTTTGGGGTACGAGAGGTGGTTTTATTTGAACACAGTCATCCCTTGGTATCCATGGGGGAATAATTCCAGGGAATGACCTGTTTGCAGGTGGGGCCTCCTACCTCTCACCCTTCCAGCTTGTTATGTCAGTATCTCGATTTTATAACATGAACGAGTGGAAGCTAACTGCTGCTCCATACCCAAAGCTTTGAAAGGCCAGAGCAGAAGTGTGTGTAAGTAGCTCTCAGCTGTCAGTTCTGGTGCGCTAGTCTCCTCTCTGTCTGAATTAAATTCCAAGGGAAGCCACTTCTGCCTCCTGGCTGACAGAAGCCTTTTCCCTTCAGGGGAGAGGGTAGATGGGTCATGTCTTGACCCATCTCCATGCCTCAAGGAGAACTAGAAGGATTTTAAAAAAAAATCCCTGGGTTCATGAATGGAATACCATTCTCTGAAAAGTTCTGTCTTTAGAAAAATCTGTTGAAATACTTTCAAGTTATAGAATCCTTACAATTTTGAGCGTGCCTTCAGTTAAGTGCTTAGTTATACTCAAGGGCTTCACATCCATTACCAGCTGAAAATTTAACAATCATAGCAATTAAGTGTTTAGTATCAGTTTTCACCTTTCATATATATATATATGTCTTAATAATCCAATAAGAATTTATATAAAAGGTCTTTTACACAAATGTCAGATTTGAAGATCTTTAAAAAAAACACTATAAACTCATCTAATTAAATGTATTGGGGGCAACATTGGATAACACAATTCTATAATACACCATCTGTGTATTGCCTTGTATGCTCACCACCCAGAAGCTAGTCTCTTTCCGTGGCCATAAATCTTATCACTTTTACCTTCTTCATTCTCCACCCACCCCAGTGCTCCTCTGGTAACTACCATACTGTTGTCTATGTCTGTGAGCTTGATGGCTTTCTGCTTTATCTATCCCACATATAAGTGAAATTATATGGTTCTTGTCCTTTTTCATCTTACATATTTCACTCAGCATCATACTCACTCAGCATCGTACTCTCAAGATCCATTCATGTTGCCACAAATGGCAATGTTTAATTTTTCACAGACCAATGGAATAGAATTGAGAGCCCAGAAATAAACCCACATATACATGGGAAAGTAATTTTTGGCAAAGAAGCAAAAAAAAAAACAACAACATACAATGGAGAAAGGAAAACCTCTTCAATAAATGATGTTGGGAAAATGGGATTGTAACTAGCCTGCTATGGGATAGCATACACAAAAATGAACTCAGCGTGGTTTAAAGAATTGAATAGAAGCCTGAAACAGTAAAGTATATAGGGAAAAAAGCACTAAATGTATGAACTTTGGACTCGAGAGTGGTTTTTGTGAACTTAATCCTAAACACAAGGAAAATAAAAGCAAAAAAATAAATGAATGGGACTACATCAAGCCAAAAAGCTTCTGGACAGCCACAGAAACTGACAACAAAACCAAAAGACAAATGATACCTCTTATAAGGGATCAATATCCAAAATATACAAAAAACTTACACAACTCAACAGAAAATAAGCAATCCAGTTTAAAAATGGGCAGACCTGCTCAGACACTTCCCCCTGAGGACATACAGTCTCAGACATGAAAAGATGCACAACCTCACTTGTTGTAGGGAAATGCAAATCAGCAGCACAATGAGGTACCACCCCACACCTGCTGGAATGGCTATTCTCGTTAAGAAAAGTTAAGTGCTGAAGAGGTGTGGAGAAAAGGGAATCCACTTACACTTCTGGTAGGAATGTAAATTTGTTCAGCCGTGCTGAAGGTTCCTCAAAAAATTAGGAATAGCCCTAACTGGGTATGCTCAGGGGATAGAGCATCGTTCTGCAGACTGAAGGGTCCCAGGTTCGATTCCGGTCAAGGGCATGTACCTGGGTTGCAGGAACATCCCCAGTAGGGGGTGTGCAGGAGGCAGCTGATCGATGTTTCTAACTCTCTATCCCTCTCCCTTCCTCTCTGTAAAAAAATCAATAAAATATATATATATATATTTTTTTTTTTTTTTAATTAGGAATAGCACTACTTACTGTATGACCCAGCAATCCCTCTTCTGGGTATCAGTCCGACAAATTGGAAAACAGTTACTCATAAAGACCTATGTATTGGAGGTGGGGGCAGCCGTGGGGGAGCAGCTGGGGAGAGGGCAGTGGGAAGGAGACATCTGTAGTACTTTCAACAATAAAGAATTTAATTTTTTTAAAAAAATCTATTTAGCCCTGTGTTCTTTGCAATATTATTCTCAGTAGCCAAGACATGGAAACAACTGGAGTGTCCTTAGACAGATGGTTGGAGAAAGATGTGGTATATGCATGAGAAATAATAAAATATAAATTATTATTCAGTAAAAATTTACAAAATGTCAAAAAACATATGTAAAAAAAAAAAAAAAGTTTTGACACGTTTTTGCAAGTCAATTCAGAAGGGACATGAACAGTACCTAAACCAGTATTCTCAGCTCGGTGTCTCTGGCTTTGTTTGTACTAATCATTTGCTTACTGCACACTTCTAAAGCAGACTGCACTGAGTCCACATGTTTAATCATAGTCAAACTCACAGAAGAAAACTTTGGTCTGGAAGGAAAAAGTACCAAAAATGGCGTCCATATTGTGCCACTTAAACCTATTACAGGTTCCCTCATTGGTGAGTGTGTAATTCGGCATCATTAGCATTACAGCTGGGGATATTTCAGCGACTGAATTGGTGGGATCTGATCATTTAACAAACAGCAAGTGAAAAGCATTTGTGATCCTCATCATTTACTCGGGAGGAGAAACTTCTGCATGTGGGAGGTAGACCTGACATTGGATTTCCTAAAAGGCACAGGTTAAAGACAAGGTCTTTCCACCGAGAGAGGCGATTGCCAGAAATTAGACCAGGAAAACACCCAGACGCTCATTTTGCATCAGTGTTGCTCTTTAGTCTTCCTGAGTGATTTTTAACAAACATATTTTATTGATTTTAAAGAGGAAGGGAGATGGAGAGAGAGAAACATTAAGAATCATTGACCGCCAAAACTGGTTTGGCTCAGTGGATAGAGCGTTGGCCTGCGGAATGAAGGGTCCTGGGTTCAATTCCAGTCAAGGGCATGTACCTTGGTTGTGGGCACATCCCCAGGAGGGAGTGTGCAGGAGGCAGCTGATCGATGCTTCTCTCTCATTGATGTTTCTGGCTCTCTGTCCCTCTCCCTTCCTCTCTCTGAAAAATCAGTAAAAAATATAGTTTAAAAAAAAAAAAAAAAAGTCATTGATCAGCTGCCTCCTGCACGCCCTATTCTGGGGACCGATCTCAAAACCCGGGCATGTGCCATTCCCTGGCTGGGAATGGAACCTTGACCTCCTGGCTCATAGGTCAATGCTCAACCACTGAGCCACGCCGGCCGGGCCTGAGAGCTGCCTTTGATTCGAGGCATCAGCAGCTTCTCATGAAGGGGGGCATGAATAATGTCAACAGCGGGGTATGCTTATGTTCCAAGGACCAGCATGAAAACTGTGTCTGACTCTGTGCCCGTTTCTCTAGGGCCCACGGACCTGAGCATGAAGAGGCAGCTGGCGCCCAGCTCCGGGTCCGCCAGCAGCGCCAGCTCCAGGCCGCAGCTGAGTCCCACCGAGATCAACGCCGTGCGGCAGCTCGTGGCCGGGTATCGGGAATCGGCTGCGTTTTTATTGCGTTCCGCAGACGAACTGGAAAACCTTATTTTACAGCAGAACTGACTCCAAAGGCGATCCTAGTCCCAGAGGTCCGAGTTCGCCGTTTCCACTAATGACATTTTGATTTCCCCTACTGCCCGGGCTTAGGGAAACCCTTCTGCTCGGCCGCACTGTCTTTGGTCGATAGAGTGATGTGTTCAGGGGCCTCAAAGGAACTCTGGACTCTGAAGCACTTGAGACGCTGTGTGTCCAGCCTGCTGTTTTTGTTTTAGTGTCAGCATAACTGTCTGGGCCAAAAGAAAAAAAAAAAAAAAAAAAAAAAAAAAAAAAAGGCTGGCAATTCCTACTTCAAGGATAAAATGCAAGAAGCTTGTGGTATAAAGAACAGCTCCAGATCCAACTGAAATATGAGTGGAATTCGCTACTGACTTATTGGACTAAAAGCTGCAGGATCTGGCAAAAAAAAAAAAAAAAAAAAAAAAAAAAAGCCAAAATTTCTTGTTACAGGTTATAACAATGGAAAAAGGATCTTGTATTTTAAAAAATATATATATATATGTAATTTTTATAAAAAGGAAACTTGTTTTTCATTCGAAATGGTCATTTTTACTTTGGTAACTTTTTCATAGGACCTAAAAGAAAACTGTTTTGAGAAAAACTACTGTAAGTACCTTTTCCACATCCCTTTGCCTTCTTCCCTTTCCAAATTCTTTATTATACAAAAAGAACACTTGATGCTGCAAAAACACACCCACAACCCTTGCCTGTGTTCTTGACATGGTCATATCAGGAAGCACTTCCGCGAGAAGCCCGTATCACGCTGACCCCAAGCATCCCCAGCACCGCTGCAGCTTTACATAGAGGTTTTCATCACAATTCAATATTTAAAAAGACATATCGTTTGGGGGGAGAGGGAGGGGAGGTCACACTTTGGTTTCCTGCCGCTCACCCCAGACAGCCGCTGCTGTGTCTGACGGGCATCCCCCCAGCGGCAGCCGGATGTAGGTGACAATGGTAGGAGGTTGCAAGTGACAATCTGAAAATTTGCACTCGTGTGTAGCTTAGTTTTCATTTCTCTCTCTCAGACACAGTTTCCAAAAAGACCATTGCCTCTCCTGATATGACATGTACGATTTACAGTTCTAGGTAAACATGTGATGTAAAGGACTCTCGGTGGCTGCAGTGGCAACTTTAATAAACTGCTCCCCGCCTCCCCCTATACCCCCCCCCCCCGCCCCATCCTCTATCCTTGTTTCTGATTTTGTAGCATTGGATACACATGAAGGGCATTTTCTTTGTGCACTGAGGCAAGCCTGTTTTTACTCTAGTTAGGGAGTACATCGGTTCATGCTTCTCTTGCAGTTTTTCTGTTGTTTCGCTTTGGTTGGATTACAAATCCTTTGCGCATTCCTGAAATTTGCCTTATTTTATGTACAATTTACGTCATTCGGTTTTTTGACATGTTTAGGCATCAGTGAGATTTCTTATCTACTTGTTATAGTTTTTCAAGTAATGACTGTGATTGTGACCAAGTAATGTGCACTTTTTTCTTGTAACTGTGGACATTGCTATGCTTTTTTCTTCTAGTGTTTCTAGAATTACTGTTCCTTACAAGTTATGTAAACAAAACAAAAAAAAACAAAAAAAAAATTTTTGTGATACTGTTGGTGAATATAATGTGAAAAATCTTATTGAAATATGAGTATTTTGGAAATACATAGATGCACAAACATCTTTTAAGATGTGGATTTAGAGTTTGCTTATTTAAATGAAAATTCAAAAATTGAGGGCTGGTATAATTTTCTTTGTTTTGTGGGGTTTAATAAACAGATTTCTGTGTTAAAACAATGATTGTGAAACCTTATAAACTTTCTGAATAGTCTAATTTTTAACGTTTAGCAGTTTTTAAAGCAGGAAATGATATTGTGTGCCTACAGTTACCACAAAATAGATAACCCATACTTATACTCAGAAACAGCCTAGTGCAGTGGCCGGCAAACTCATTAGTCCACAGAGCCAAATATCAACAGTACAACGATTGACATTTCTTGAGAGCCAAATTTTTTAAACTTAAACTTCTTCTAAGGCCACTTCTTCAAAATAGGCTTGCCTAGGCCGTGGTATTTTGTGGAAGAGCCACACTCAAGGGGCCAAAGAGCTGCATGTGGCTCGAGAGCCGCAATTTGCCGACCATGGGCCTTAGGTACCAGAGTCTCCACATCCAGTCTAATAATTTATTCCAAGAAGGGGAGAGCAAACTAGCAAAACCAAGGATGTTTCATTTGATTATTTAAATCTGACAAGAATTTATCCTTTGTGATGTTAACCCTCACCAGAGGATATTTTTCCACTGATTTTTTTTTTTTTTTTTAGAGGGAGAGTGAGGTTAGCACCTGATAGAAAGAGAAACATCAATATGAGAGAGACACATTGCTCTGTTGCCTCCTGCACAATGGGGCCTGGAATCAAAGCTGAAACCCAGGTTAATGCCCTTGACCAGGAATCGAACCCCAGACCCTTCAGTGCCTGTGCCAACACTCATACGTCAAAGGTCCCTCCTAGTGGTATGAAGGAAGCCAATGGCGAGGGGAAGGTAGTTTCCAGCAAGGTGCTATTGTTTTGTGAAGTCTGCATCTTCAATTGTAACAGTCACACCCAACCACCAAGGGCTAAAGCCCCCTATCTTCGCTCTTTGCACATCTACCTAAACAGCCAGGTCCCTCCTGCCCCATGTGGCCTCCCCCATTCCCCTGAGAGAGCTCAGAGCCCACGCGAAGGGCCAGTTTGCTTTCCGATTCCTTGATGACAGGACCTGACAAAGTCTGCTCCTCCCGGATGCTCTGCCACAGGAGGAGAGGGACTCCCCTTACACCGCCACGGAGACGCTGGCTCCCAGTGCCATGCAGGTAAGTGACGGTTCTCATCAGCAATAGCAGTGAAGGGCAGGGCTGCCACTCCTGCCGTGGCCTCCTCCCGCCAGGGGCACCGGCACATTGGGCTACTTGATCACCACAAGAAAGCGCCTCCAAATACCACCGGGCACCAACACCGGCCGCTTCTGAAGGTCCACCAGCTGAGACATTTAGGTGGCAGGACCCAGTCATGAAGGCGCTCAGACAGGAGCAAACCTACCCTCTCCGATCCCTGCACCGGGGAAGGCGTGTCTGTCCTCTGACTTCTCAGGGGAACACCCGGGACCAGGGCAGACACTGCCCACAGGACCCCAGAGGTTAAAGGACTTGCTGGGAGCACAGACAGGTAGAGCTGGAGCCCCACAGAACCCCAGCTCCTGGCCCAGCCCCAGGTCCCTGCAGGCTGCTGCCTCCTCCTAAATAATGCCATCCCGCCCGGGCCCGAGTACCAACATTTAGCCGTTTTATCTGTGTCGCTAAATGGCTCTTTTTAAAATGCACTTGACATCAAGTGAAACAACGAAAAACACGTTGCATCCTGCTTGGAGAGGTTTAATTTCCTTTAAATTGTGTTTTCCTCACATACAAAGAGCCACAATAAAAATCACTACTGATGAAAACTGTTCACAGAGCGTGGAGAGAAGGCAGGCACCCTAGCCCTGTTGCCTCCACTATGAAAAGCAAGGGTCATGCAGCCGAACCAGAGGGAAGTGCAAGCACCGGAGATGTAGATCTTAGATACTAAACAGGTGCTAACCGGCTACTGAAATTAACCCAACATCATCCATGCAAATAGCTCTCAAACACTAGTCATGCCATATAGTAATTCTAGTGCCTCCCCCTTCTTGAAAGCAATATTTTTTGGCAGGAGCTACAATGCTGTTGGTAGAATAATCTTTCTTCGGGTAGATGGGCAATCATATTTAACTTTTTCTTTTCCGATTGCAAAAGAAACGTGGGAAATACGGAAAAGGAAAAAGCCAATTCCAGCATCCATTGAGAACCACAAATAACTTACCTTTCAGCTTCTAACTGAACAGGGGTGTGACTATTTTATTTTATTTTTTTTGCAGTTGGTGTTTCCTTGCCTGCCTTGCTAACCTGGCAGTAGACCGGGAAATTTTCCCACCATTAGGCATTCTTAGTCAATCTCATTTCAATGATGGTGGAGCATTACATTATTTGATGCACCTGGGTTAGTTCCCTGTTGCCGCTGTACCTCATCACCCCAGACCACATGGGTGTACTGCACCCTGTGGTTGGCAGGGTTGTGTTCCTAGTGGGAACCCATTCCCTTGCCTACTCTCACCCCTTACCAGGTGTACTGGTTACTAATGCGAATTCTTTTCAACGGATGGAGTGCCACATATGTTGATATACACTGAGTGGCCAGATTATTATGGTCTCTGAATGCATAATCTGGCCATTCAGTGTATATCCTAATAAAAGACTAATATGCAAATTGTCCCCTCAACCAGGAGTTCAACCAGCAGGCAGGCCAGCCAACCACCCATGTCCCCTCCCCCTGGCCAGGCTGGCCAGACCCCACCCATGTATGAATTCATGCACCGGGCTTCTAATATATATATACTGAGTGGCCAGATTATAATGCGTTCAGAGATCATAATAATCTGGCCACTCAGTATATATACGATTTGATACATATGCTATTTTGTTGTATTGATAATAACCTTCAAAACTTCATATGTCAAATTTGCTGAAGGTGTTAATATCATAGTTTTATGCTTAAAAATGTCAAATGTCATGCCAAAAAGAGCATTTGCAGGAAGTTTTCATTATTTTGAAGAAAGCTGCTGAAAGTTATCGTTTACTTTGGGAAGCTTATGGTGAACATGATCCATCTCAAGATACTTGTGGATGCTGGTTTAAATGCTTTAAAAGTAATGACTTGGATCTGTAAGACAAACAATGTCCAAGTCAACCGAAAAAAGTTTGAAGACCAACAATTACAAGCATTATTGGATGAAGATGTATGTCAAACTCAAAAACAACTTGCAGAAAGATTAAACGTTGTTCAGCAAACAATTTCCGATCACTTACAAGCAATGGGAAAGATTTTAAAGGAAGGAAGAAAATGGGTGCCACATCAATTGAACAGAAGACAAATGGAAAACCGAAAAGTCATTGGTA